TTTAAGCACATCTTCACATATTTACAAAGTGTGCATTCATATAAATGTTTCTTACATCTCTTCTAAAACATCTGTTTCATACTTCTAAAGAAATTACTGTTATGTGTCATGTTATGATGCTCGTAGCAATGATCTGTATTTTGCTTTCTAATCACTATGACTCGTTTACTGGAATGGTTCCTAAAACCTTGGACTGTGTACTCTGCATAGAGAGTGCGTATAACATGACTCTGCTTAACACAACCGCAGAGACAATCCAGTGTGCACAATAAATAGAACTTAATGTACAGTAAATAGACCTTAAGCAACATCTGGAAAATATTGCGTAGGTATTTCAGGTAGCCACTGTAAGCAATTGCTAATCGAAACCTGGCTACATGAGGGTAATTACTAAGTCTTATGAATGACTTTGCACGGCTAAAAAGGTGCCTGGGAGGACCTGGGCATGCAAAGCCGTGATGGGGGAAGTACTTTTGTATGATGGCGCAGGATCAAGAAGGGAGCCTGAGTAATTCAGCCTAAAAACCCCCATCTGTCAAATCTGACAACTGCCCAAACGTCTAGCAGTGTGTGCTCCTTACGGTAAGGCCGGGAGCCGATCTGCTCTGACTTCCTGAACACTTGGGTCCCCACGTGTGTGAGCACTGATGGCTGCATGCCAGCCCTCACGCTCCTGCCGCTTTTTCAAGTCTGGTGCAGAATGGCAGAGGTAAACTTGTTGCTTGCAGTTATCATTCTCAGGGCGTGAATACCTGCTGCGGGCTTTACCAGCGCGGCCAGCCCTTTTTTGGTAGTTTCATCGGGGAGAGGGTTCCGAGTCAGGGAAGTTGGAAACCCCACTGAGCTTGTTTGTATGCTGCTTTCTGTTAACGTGCGAGTAAAGAAGGCAGGTGGGTTCTTATCCTGTGCCTCTTACCAGTGGAAACCTCTTTAAATTCTGCGGTGTGAGGTGTGTTAAGTGTGGAGAGCAGGAATTGCTGTAATGAAATACTTGTAGTGGTGATGCTGGGATGTGAATGGTCTGTTCATTTCTCTTTTGAAAATAAAGGATGCACTGCTTCTGTAGAGCAATAGGGAGAAAGGGAGGCCTGGTCAGTTGTTAATCTTTAGAGATTGGAAGGTGGCATCAAAGTGAAGTAAGTTGGACAGGTGTGTGGGGACACTGTACCCTGATGTGATGTACTTAAACTGTAATTGAGAAGTTTCAGTGTCTAAAACTACCACTCCCTCTCATCTTACCACTTGCAATTTGTTTAAAAATAAAGGTTCCTTCAACAAAGGTGGAGGTCATTATGCAGTTCTAAACTTAGCTTAATTTAGTTACAGACTATTCACAACTCCCAGCTGTGGTTCAGATATTTTCAAACAAAGGCCTACTATTTTGCACATATGCTTACTACTAGATTATCATTTAACTTACTTGGCACATTTGGTTCAGCGGAAGGGGGAAGAGAGGCTTCCTGTGTGCGTTTCTATGAGAGGCTCTGAAGTAGAGTGGTTTTCCACTGTTTACTTAAGAACAGCCCTTTGGATTAACTGGCTTTGACCCAGGCCTTGTACTTCTCTGTGTTAACATTGGCATAATGCATAAAACACTTGAGACACATTATTGCTGGATTTTTCAGGGAGCAAATTCTCACTGAACCCTCTGTGAAGGTGCATTTCCAAAAAATCTTTTTCCAGCCAGGATGGTCCAGCTTTGGCAGCTGTGCAAGGCAGCTCTGGACTGTGGGACCCACTGAGTGGGTTGCCCCTTCCTTGGGTGAAGTATTGCCTTTTCCCCGGGCAGCAGCGACTGTCTGCACTGCTGCAGTAGCAACAGCTGCATCCCTGCGTTGTGCATCCGGTTCAGGAGGAAGTGGGTTGCTGGTGAAGTAGAGTTTGCAGCTTAAATTGGTGTTCTTCATCTCCTTTGCAGAATAGTAGTAATGGGTGGAATCAACTCACATGTTACTGCTTGGACCGAGCTCTTCTTGGCCTTTCCATCAAATGTAGCACATCTGGCCATGGCATATAACAAGATGAGATTTCTATTCAGCTTCTAAAATAACCTAGAACAGAAGGTAAATTCCAAAGAGAGAAGACTGATGGCTCAGTATAAAGCATGCCAAAAATCCCAAGACCGGCTGAATTCAGCTGGTGTTTGGGTTGGTTCAGCTGGCGATGAGTTGCATATAGACATGGACAGCAATGATTAGGAACGTGGGGTCAGAGGAGAGCATGTGAATGTTCTGCCCTCAGAAACCCGAAGAAGTGCTGAGTGAGCTGTATGCCACTGCTCTGTACACATAACACAGCCATCGCCAGTAGTAGCTTTAAAGGGTAAGTGCAGGTAATTTTGGAAGTCGCTAAGTAGAACCAGTTGCAGTTAAAAGCAAATAATCTTTCAGGATGTTGGTGTTCTTAGTTTCCTCTGAGATAGGTTTTCACCCTTTTTTTTTTTTTTTTCTTTTTTCTTCTAAGGAAGAGCTGCGTGTGTTTGATGTTTGCAGCGCTCGCTTGGATATTACAAAGCCATTCAGTCTCAAGACTGTGCAAAGTCTTTTGCAAGTCTGTCTTTTGAAGTCACAGTGGATGACTGTGGGGATGAGTCCTGAGTGTTCTGGTTTCTGACATGTTACAGTGTTCACTGGGAGTCTTTAAGTACAGATACCTGTAGTATCTGCATGGTTGTTTCTTTTTCATTGCTTGTTCATTTCAACTCATTTCATGTTATTCTATGTATGTGCTGCCAGGTTGGGATGAGTTCTCTCCCTGAAGAAAACCAATTAGTTGAACGTGAATTTCAGGTGTCCCGAGCACCTGTTAGCTTGAAGCTGACCCTGGAAACTACCCTTCCAGTTCAGTTCCTATAGCTTTGCCCTCATTGTAATCCAAGTGGCTGAGTGGTGTTGGAAAGAGGAATTGAAGATAGAAGCAAGCCAGGCTGGTAAATCATCTGTTCATTCTGCTGTCTGGAAACTGAGGCAGGAATCAGATTTCGGTTTCCACTTCACATTGCAAGCATCTGTCAGTTGGTGCTCTAGTGGTGCTTAAAGGCACCAGGAAAGTACCTGTTCTGTGTCTTTGAGTGTTTAGGGCTGGGTACTGCATGTCCACATTTTTTTATTTTTTTATTTTTTTTAAACAAAGGAAAAGAGAGACTGTTGCTGAAAGCCAAATACATGTTAACGGGGAATCTCTGAAGGGAAAAGTGCTCAAGAGGCATTTCTTTTCCTATAATCCAGTGCAGGGCTGCCAGCAAGTAGAGACTGTTAAGGAGAAAATGATAAAAATGAAGGTTTGCTAATTAAGTCTGTGGGTGATACAGGTAAGTAGACGCAGAATCCTTCTGCTCAGTTCTTCAAAATGCTTCCCTGCCCCGAAGTGTCAGTGCTAAGCAATGACTGGTGTACCAGTAGATCTTCCACTGAATCCTTTTCAGTTGAGAAATTTAGCTTACCTGGACTGTTATCTGCTTGGTGACTGCAGTCATACTGGGTAGAATGTGCGTTATGCATGTTCCAGTGTTTCTTCCTATCTTCTGATTGTAGCACTGAAGTGGAGCAGTTTCACAGAGCATGAGTATGTTCAGAAAAATCTGGTGCTGGAATCGTTAGCAGATGTGTGTGATACTTCTGAGCAATTTGTGTACAAGCTGGGGAGAGTGTTACTTGCTGTGATCTGAGGAGAAATTACAGTATGCAGTGCTCAGTAAGCTGGGGATTTCTGTTGGTTCTGGTTCAGAGAAATAGCAGTGTGGCCTTCCTAAGAGTTTTTAAAAAACACATTTGTGGTCTAACCTTCCCTATTTTCCTTTGCCTCGGCAATAGAATAGGCAGGTTATTAACCTCTTCTGTTATGTGTATTGTAACTTCTCTTGCAATACTGCACTGACAGTTTGATGAACCAAGGCCAAGAAGTCTGCTAGCTGTGCTTGAGCAATCATGAGCGTAGGGATGATAAAACTCAACAAAGTTTCACTCGTTTGCTGCTCATTTTTCTTCACAGCCTTGTAGCAGGTAGATATTAATAAAGTAATAAAAAGCACTTGCAGTTCTTTATAAATGTGTGTGTTCTGGTGTTGAGAACAAATAATTGGTGAGGGTGGGACATGCAGAGAGCTGTCTTCCCAAAGCCCGGTGTTGTGGGTCTTCTAGTCTCCACTAACAAGTTACTTCATGTTCCCCAAAGAGGGAAGTCACGGCCCAAAGGAGGGTTCAGTGTTGGTAACTCTCATCTCTGATTTTGGGGTAACAAGGACCTGCTGTTAGTGCTGCTTTAGTTCTTTTTTTTTTTTTTTAATGTTCTCTCACCCTTCAGGCTGGAATGTTTCTTCCAGGTCACAGCTGCAGGAGTGGATTTGTTGCTTCATCCGTGTCCTCTCTGAGCGCAGTCTGTGTTGGGACAAGTACAGGGAGAACATTGTGTGTACCCTCCTCAGCTCCTGCCAGGGAACAATCTCCTGCGTCAGCAGGATTGATTTGGTGTATTAAAAACTAGTGAACTGAAGGGTCCATGGAAGTCTGGTTTTGTTTTCCCCAAATGAATGTAGTGTTCTGTGTTGTGCTTGGGCAGGGTTACAAAAAGTTTGTGAAGAAAAGAAAGAAGTTGATGCTGTTAGAGAACAGTATAATGTAGGCCTTTGGTATCAGTTGATAAAGCTGAGACAGTTAGGTTATCATAGGAAAGCCAGAGACTGAGCAAAAGCTCAGTCATCAGAAGTGTTGGGTTACTTTGCTGATGAATTGAGTTACATGGGTTGCGTAAGAAGTGCTGTATGAATTAGCAGACTTTTGGAAGAGCACAGGAATACTGCAGAGAAGGTGTTCTTAAAATTGATTTACTCACTGAGTTTCCTGAAGTTATGCCTCAGTACTACATATCTGTCAAGATTAAATGAGATTTGGGGCCGATAACATGTAGGTGGGGACAGTATTGTGCCCTAAGGATAGGTTTGTAATTTCACTTGCAATCACACGGACTATAATTACTACATTTCCCTCTGATTAAAAAAACAGGTCAAAAAAGGAACAAATTGTGTTCTCTGTATGCAGAGGGGAACTGTGCACTGCTAGAAGAACTTTGAAACGCCTTCAGACTTCACGCTGCTTGCCTCGTGGCTGCTCTGCCTGTTATTGATAGGTAAGAACTCAAAAGGAGAGACCAAATTTATGTGTAAGTGGGGTTGCAGGGAACAGTACTGGAAAACAGAACTGGTAGCAGTGGGAAAAAATGAGTTCTAACTGATTTTGACAGGGCAACTCTTGAGATTACCAAGTCATCTTAGCTGTTGATCTCAACGTTTATTTTCAGTAGCTTTATGAAAGAAAGTTAGAGCTCGCCAGCTTCTTTGCTGAGCAGCACGTCCCTGGGCTAGGGCTGCATGTGGTGCCCATGGGACCGGTGCGGAGCAGCCAGCTGGCTCCCTGCACCTGGGCTGGGCAGGGACAGCTTCCAGCCTGCAGAGATGGGAACAGTCTCCAGCCTGCAGAGATGGTTCAGCTGCTGATTTTGCTGTTGCATCTGCTTTTGCAGCCTGTAAACATGTACAGTGGAAGAGAGTTCAAGTGTCTTTTAGAAAATCATCCTTATTTTCCCTTCCACTTGGAAAGATTAGAAAAAAAGTCAGAATAAGCTTTCAGGATCCTTGCTTTTTCTATAACATTTTAATGAAGCCGGGACCACGCTCTTCAAAGACAAGAGGTGTCTTGTTTTACTTATGCCAGTAAGCACTGTCAGTAAGGGAAGCCAGTAAAAATGTTGTCCTCCCTCACCTTCCGCGTTTAGAAGATAGAGAGGGCTTTTGGTGTTTGCGTTATCCAAGCTGACCCAGTTGCATGCTTTCAGAATGACTGTGTGCCTGATCTGAGCTTTGCAACTCAAATACTTTGTTTTTACCACCGCTGCTGAAAGGGCTCATTAAGGCTGTACTTGCTTCCTGAGACACAGCAGAATTGAATGAAAAGCATCATTGTCTTGAAATACCGTGATCTGCCGCCAAAGGAGTTGCTGTTGTATAATCCCTGTTAGCAGGTTGGAGTGGCAGTTGTTCCTTGGTCTGAAATCCGTACGTGGAGTGATGGCTTCCAGTTTTCCCACTGGGGATGGCACGTCTCGTCTTGCTCACTCTCTTTGCGAGTCACAAACTCATATGGTTGAGCCATCAATGATCCGGTAGCAGCTTCTTTCACAAGTTTGAACACCAAGGGTGTTGCATAGAGGTAGTGCTTGTTAATAAATAAAAAGATAGCTGTACATACAGTGTTTCAGATTGTTCAGAAGCAAAGCGGTAGAGGTAGAATAGAAAAGTTTATTTTGGCTTTCCTTTTTGATTTGTGGAATTCAGCATGTTCATTTCTGTGCTGACATTTCTGCCTTCTGTGCTATTTGTGTTAACCTGCAGCTCAGTTAGCACTCTGTTATGCTTCATCTTTGTAGTAATAAAATTAGGATCTGCAGATATCTGACACTGAATCCCCATTATAGTGGGCATCTGCATCAAAGCTTACTTCTCCGTTTTAAGCTAAAACATACACATGGGAGTTCCTAAATATTTCCTTTAGGGTAGACTTCATCACAGCAGAGAGATCAAATTCACCTCTGGATTTCAACCTTTTAAGATCTTGTGCAACTAGAGCAATTGCTTACAAGAAAAACAGCACGAGCAAAGTATTTGAACTATCTTCTGGGTTTCTTACTGGAATGTAACAGCTGGAAACAAGCAGCAGTTAGAACATGATGTTATTATCCAGGTCTGTGCTTGCTGTTGGCAGGTGGTCAATTGGACAACAGCTTGGGAACCTCTGCAGCTGCAGTTGCTGCGGGCTGCTGGGCTCTTTTCCTGCAGAAGGCCTCTTAAGGAAGTGAGTGGCCCAAGAAGAACCTTTGTCCATTCACCTTCTCTCCAGGTGAAACCTTGAAGGTTTCCCCTCAAGATTGGTGGTGTCTCAGCCTCTTATCCCACTCCAGTCTTTCTCTTATAGCTTTATTCCTTCCTCGGTGTAATCACAGAATAATATATTGCTCTTAAATGGGGACAAGTGGCTGAAGACAGCAGCAGTGTTTGTCGCAGTGACAGATAGGCACATAGATTCCTACTTGGTGGCCTTGTGGATCAGATTTGATCTGCAGTCCCAGCATTTCTTAGAGAGTTCGTGTTAGTTTTTTGTTCTTCGTGGCATGGCTCTTGCTCTTCTGGATCAACTCTTGTGTTCCTTATGTGTACTCTGCCTTCTTTTTTTCTAGTGGTGGGACAATACTGGCCACGCTGGGCTTAGAGAGAGGGAGAGCTGGTACTACCTCTGGCAAATTGCTGGTATAACGAGCAGCATGTTGAAAGTAACTTGACTGAAATGGCAGCTCTGCAGGAGATGCTGAGAAGCACGAGCTGTGTGGAAGCTGGAGAATGTTCTCATTAGCTGACTGGAGAATTTGTGGTATCCATTTTAAGGTAGTAAACTCAATTACAGATGATTCACGTGAATAGATGGTCTCTTGATAGTTAGAGAAGGTCGGATTTGAGGTTTGCTCCTCACAGAGCACTGTGGATTTCAGAGTATTTTTCCGAACTCCTTTCTAATCAACCCTGAAATTGGTGATAATTAAGTCCTATTTAAAATGATAAGAATATTTCGAATGACTCTTGCCTTTGAAGTCCCTGAATGAGCAGAACTGCTTGGTTAGAAATGGATGGTAACCCTAAAAAACTTCCCAATTTGTCTGTTCTACGTTTTTTACTGCTTCTAATACATTTTTGCTTACTGGATTATTACTGAGGCTCTAAGCATGGCACAGGCACCCTGTGGAGATGATTGTCACTAGAAATAGTCTGATAAAAATACTCCTGTAAAATAAGACACAGGTTTGTTAGATATATTGTATTTCATTGTTACATAGCCTTTACTTTAACATGTAGATTCATGATAAAATTCGGCCTGGAATTAAATAAAATCCTTTAACAAGCCACACAAGCAGCATTCTGCCTTCTTATACATTTCCCATTGAGAAATAACCCATGAAATACTGTCATCTATCAGTCAGACTGTAGTCAGGTAAATGTACAAGTGGAAATGCTTTTCCAGTTTCTCTAAAAGCTCTCTTGGAAATGCAGCATCATTGAAGTCAGTTCTGCATTAGAGCACTGGGGAAACATATCCTGCCGAGGGAAAACTTGGAGCTGGTTCTGAAAGGGAAAGCTAGGGGTGGGAAGATCAGTGCAATCCATGGCGCAAGGCTGCATTATGAATCTAATGGGATATAATAGGTTTTTTAATAAACCGCAAGTGAGTGCATCTGTATTTATTATTAATAGATTCTTAACAGTAGATTCTACCTCTTTAGTACCCTGTCATGCCCTTACAGTTACCATTCTGAAAGCCTATCTCAAGTACAGTTAAACTTGAGTAAACTTTGAGGTTTGTTTCAGAAGTAATTTAGAATTCAAATAGGAAGAACCTATCTTGTCCTTTCCTGCCATCATGACCTGAAGTTACAGTGTCAAAGATGCACATATGCATTACATTCTTCAAATGAATAACTTAACTACAGACACAAACAGAAAAATAAAAAGTGTATTTTCTGGTTCATATTGCTTACAAATATCACTGCTTAGAGACTGTGGGCTTTTCAGCGTTGCCAGATATTTCAAGTCTAACGCATGCTAATCTTCTAAAAGCGACACCATTTGGAAACACCTTCTGAATGTGGTTTGCCTTTGGCTGTAAGCTGAAATGCTGACAGTAGCACACAGGGTGGGTTCAATTGTCCTCAAGCTGTCGGGACAGGAAGGAGCTGTGCGAACTCACAGCCAGAGCTGGTGTGTAGGGCTGCTGGTCAGAGGAGTGGAGCATCATTCAGCATCCATGTCATCCGTGCACAGGCCTGCTGCTTTGGGACCTTTGCTGTGTGTGGGTAAGAGAATTCCCAGTCCTCAAGAATTTGAACTAAATACGTAATGTTATTGATGGCCTGACCTAGACTGACTGTACTTCTGTCATCTAATTCTACATGAATCAAAGAATTGCCCTCTTCACTACATTTCATAGGTTAGGTGTCAGGTAAAGCTAACGCAGCCTAAAATATATTTGGCTAATTCTTTTAGAATTCCTTGGGAGACTTTATCATAGTCTGCTGTAAAATATCTCTCTGTTGTGTATTATTTAAAATGCTCTTTGGTTGCAAAGTTAATGAGTCTTAGTTATTATTAAGAGTTTAATGCACTGTCATCCTTTTTTAATACGCTACTAGAGGTATTTCCTGAAGAATTCTACCCCTTTTACATTATTCCTGTTCTCTGATCCGTAATAAATCTGCTCCCTTGATAAATTTTTCTTTTCTGTATTATACTTTAAAAACTTTTCATTGTCCTTAGCTCTCCCAAAGTGAGACCTCCACCAAACTGCAGGTTAGTTTCCCACAAGATTATTTTTTCTTTTCTTTTGTTTTGTACTGGTAGGAGGTAAAGGAGCTGTTTGTCCCATTCTCCATTTTGGTTTATTGATACTTCTGGGTGCTGTGATCATTCTGACTTCTGTACATCTAGGACCAGCTAGTTCTGAGTTATCAGGAGCATTACAATACGTACTGGGGAGTCCTCCCTTATCTCCACCCATTTCTCTGTATTGTTCTTCCTAAGCGGAGTGTGAGTAGAGATTTCAGAATTGAACTCACATGAATAGTTCCCCTGAGTTTCAGAAATGCCACCCACTGGATTTTTTTCTCCTTAGTTGGCACTTCTGTTTCTAGAAATTCTTTGTTACTTTGCTTCCTGGCAGCCCTGAGGTGTGTCAGAAGTTTGCTACAACACAGGATGATAGAATGGTTGGGTTGGAAGGAACCTCGAATATCATCTAGTTCCAACCCCCTGTCACAAGTAGGGTTGCCAGCCACTGCATCAGGCACCAGATTAGGGCCCAGAGCCCCATCTAGCCTGGCCTTGAACACCTCCAGGGCTTCAGTGTGTTTGTGACACCCTGAGCTGGAGCTTGTGGAAAGTCTGAGGGCTGTTCTCTATGCCCTGCTATCTGTAGCTGATATGGGGAAAGCACCTTTGGCTGTCCCTAAATGTGTTTGCAGTGGAAGAGAGTTTGCAGAGAGCTCTGGGATGGCAGGCACGAGGCTCTGCCCTCATGGTGAAGCAGGAGGTGCCACTTAGGGGGATTATGGAATCCGAGTTGTCAGATGCTCAAGGACCAGGGGATATGGTGCTAGCCTGAGTGGGCTTCATCTCCTCTGATGCTAGTTGTCCAAAGTGCATAGCCTAAGCTTGACGTAGATGTGAGTTAATTCTGTGCACAGTGGAGGGAGAAGGATGCTCCTGGCAAACAAGCTGCTCATTCTGAACCACAGCAGGCAAGTGCCTTTCCTTTCTCATTCTCAATTTGTGAGGCTGTGCTATGACCTGAGCCTGAAATTTGAACTGTGCTTTGACTGAACCAACCTCAATCCTTCTTTCTTTCCTTTTCCCCTTTCTCAGGACCATTAACTCCCCCCTTGCTGAGATCCCCAGATCACCTGGGATGGAGCAGCCTTGCAGCCACGGGTCAGGAACCTCTTGTAGGCTCGGCAAGGCACCAGGAGCTCTGTGTATGCCTCCGGCCAGAGTTTTTATGTACCAAACCTTAGCTGTGATCACTGATGTCCCTGTTCACTTTGCCCACGTGCATGTATGCGTGTGGGTCGTGCTGACAAGATACCAAGGATTCCTAAAGCAGCATGTGTGAGAAAAGGACAGATGTAGCGCATGGTAAATTGGTGCCTTGGGATTGGTTTGCTGTGAGTTTGTTTTCTGCTCCATAAGCTCTTGGACAGGATCCTGGAAAGAGTTGACTCGTCACTTCTATTTTATTTATCCCTACATTTTGGTTTGTATGCCTCTGATTTGGCATTGCATCATCCAAGTGTTGAAAACAAACTAAGAAGAAAAATACAAGTGGTATATTTAACCCAAACACATCAGGTATTATGAGGTGCAGAAGTTTCTAACCATCGGCCAAAAAAGATGAGGAAATTAACTCGTGAAACTCCTTGAAGGGCAATGCCTCTGTGCATGTTATTTAACCTGTAGGGGTATTTGAAAGAAATACACTATCTGTGATTCTTAAAATCAGCTGAGGCTTAACAAAAGAAGCAAATTAATTTCTTACAAAATATGTGTTAAAAATCTCATGTTTTTTTTGGACAAAAGCATGTGTAATGGATAGTAGCTCTGTGCCAAAGCACTGATGTGGGGTTTTAAAATACTTTTTCAAAATGAACCCTGCACCTTAAATGCTATCAGGTGTTTAATTAAGACTGCAACAGCAAGGAACATGTTAGCAATAAATTACAGGGAGGTGTTCTAACATGCTTCATCTATGTAAAGATTTCTATTTTTAAGTGAAGCTATTTACAGATTATTGATTTCAAAAATAGATCTGTAACTAAAGAAAGATGCATCGTATTTCAGTTATTTGGAGTTGAAGATCTTGCCTGGCTGGCTGCCTGCTCTCTTAGATGTTTATTCCTGTGGCTTACGAGTGTATGGAGTGATTCACCCCTTCTTATTTTTCTCCCTGTATTTGGCACCACTGCAAAGAGGAATATTTGTATTCAGGGATCAGGTCCCATGCCTCTTACCCACTCAGGTAGGCTGATTTTGGTACCTTGGAGCACTGGAACAATTTCATTCAAGTCAGTAAAACTTGCTGTGTGAGTGGAGTTTCTAGGTGGTGAAGAGGCATCACAATGTAATTTGTAAGTGATTGGTGTTTCATTTCAGAGCCGTAAGCTATCATCAGAGCGGTGGTGCAGCCTGCTGAGCTGTAGGAGTGCCTTTGAGTTTATGTAATGCAAAACTTCAGCAATATATTTTTTTATTTTACGCTTTGTGGACATTGAAACAACAATTTTAATAAATAAATCAGTAATGCCTGAGGGCAGAAGTAATGTCTTTTATTAGAGTAACTGATAGACTTTGAAAATTTAGACAAGCTTGTATGCCCAAGAGCTTGTCTATTTTTTCCAGCCATACCAGTTGGTCTAATAAAAGATACTGCCTCTGTCTACAGACCTTGTCCTCTCTTTGAACTCTATTCATCACAGCTACAGAAAAATAACTACTGGAACATTAAAATAATCCATGTCTTTCTTGCTTAACTGTGGAAACTTGGATTTTTGTGGCTTCCTCAAGGCTTGGATTTTTGAATCCTAGCGCTCGGTATGATTCTGTCTGATCTCCCCTGCATGGAAGAGGGTTTCACACGGGAGCTCACACTGCTTCACCAACTCCTCATTTTAGAAAGACCACTGACAGAGGTAACCTGCTAATGGTCTTCTACCATCTGGGCTTTAGGATTCTTTGTAGGATGCTGTTGGGGAGCTATCAGATGTCTGGCATGGATGGCCATTGGGTACAGTCCTGTCTTAGCGCCTGTGTCAGCATCTCTGTGGTGGTAAGCAGATGAAGTGGGAAGCAGCTAGCATAATGGAAAGGCTCTGATTTTGGCCATGGATGTAAGTCTTCAGATCTTGGTGGACAGTTTACATTCAGCTGGCAGACCAAGATCTCACAACCAACCATGCAGCAGTTTTGTAGAGCTATTTGACTTTCCTTTTACAGGCCTTAAACACGTATATCTTTTAGATCTGAATCTATATTCAAGGTTACTAGCTTTACAATAGCTCCAGGTAAGACCACAGTGGTGGTGACATAAACCATCTCAAATGCTTATGGAGTAGCCCATTTTCCACTTTCTGAAGACATAAGTCTTCTGTGTCTTTCAGTCTGGGGGTCCCACAAGATCCTGAGGCTTGTCGCTGTGTGGGCCTTGCACTCCCTAAATCCTCTCCTCCAGCAGGGCTGCTGCAGAAAGCCCCTGGCAGGCAGTGCTGTGGGCACAGTGCCCCGCTTTGAAGAGAAACAGGTTGATGCTCACAGGCTGTTCATTCCCTTACTGCCTTTGGGCACTACTTAAATTGCTGGTAATTGCTCATAAGCCCTTAGTGGCCTGGGTTTGGGCTATTTTAGAAGCTGTGTCTCCCTGCATGCCCTGCTGTGGAAGCTGTGGTTGGCTGACGTGTTCATGTCCCTCCGGCTGCGCTGACCTCCTCCCTGGTGTGCTGTGGGGAATTGGTGGCAGGCAGCTCTCAGCACAGGAATGCATCCCTGTGGCTGCCTGCCAGGGCCTAAATTTGGTGACCTTTAGGATGTGGCATCAGATGCGTTTGTAAACGTTGCTTATAGTAACTGAGAGACGGGTAGGGAATGCTGGGGGAGGGAGGAACGTATTCTTTACAGCCAAGCTATTTGCCTCCTGTTTGATTTTTATGACCAACAAATAGTAGGCGAATGCACTAACAGATGCTGTGATGATCACAGCTGTTGGTCTTTAATCAAAATTAAAAAATGATGCAGATTGCCTCTAGGAGAGCGAGCACACCCAAGCACAATGGCTTCAAGTCGTAACGTGACCGCATGCTGTACTCTCTGCTTTGCTGAAATCATGTTTTCCTTCGGTGGAACAAGGGCAGGCTTCTTTTTAAGGTGTCCAGAGATGGTTACAGTGTCATTACCCATCTAACTTGTGGGTGGCTGTGTTTCTTTTAAGGAAGAGCAAACACGGCAAGTCCTGCGGCCTGGCTGCACAATTACACAGAGCTGTGGTTTTGTGTTGTGCCTCATCTGATGTTCCCGTGGGGCACATCTCCCACCAGTGTGTGAATACCACAGGGGGGAGTGTAGCCCTCTAGCCTCACCGCACGGCCTTGCTGAAGCTTTCTGCAGGTTTAGTTTTGACAACCACTTCTTGAGGGGTTGTGGAGGTTTGTGAGTATCAGCATGAGTACAGTACAGTTTTGAGTGGGTTCTCGCTTTGCCATAATGGGTCTGACCTGCAGAGAACAAAAGATAATCTTTATGCTTCCCTTCAGTTTCTTCTGCTAAGTTGGCGTCAGTCTGAAGTACTGTCTTTGCCCAGAGGTCAAATAAGAAACAAAGCCAGAGAAAAGGCTCTGCATTTTTACTGTGGTAAATGTGACCACATAAATGTTGGTCCTGCTGGAGTTTAATAGGGTTTACTTTGCTTGATTTATCTCGTATGTAAAGAGTGACTTTTCCAACAGTTATAGCTTATGCATATTTGTAAGTCTAAGATTTAAAAAGGAAAAAAAAAGTGACTTCAGCAATGAAGACAAGATCTTTGTTTCTAAAAGCATTTTCACCACAGTGGGTAGAAATATCTTAGAAGTTCTAGCCATATGGAAGAACCCTCCCAACTCTTGCCTTGGCTCCCTATCTCAGCTGACCTCTCAGGAAGGCAAAGTACCACTGGGTACTTCACAAGACTTCCTGAGTAGCATTGCATCTCTTAGCACCAGGAAACAGACAACTTGTTGGTGAAACAGATCCTGAGTTTAAGAAAGATTTTCTCTTTTGGCTCTTTCAGAAATAAAGAAGGATTTGAAGATGACAACCTCATGGAGTGACCGACTCCAGAATGCAGCAGATCTCCCTGCAAACATGGATGGGCATGCTCTGAAAAAGTACCGCCGGGAAGCCTATCACCGGTAAGTCCTTCCTGGACCTCCACAGCTGAAGTGCTTAGAGAGAGGGAAATAAACTAAATGTAATCTCCACTTCTCTTGTTGTTTCCTGCAAGATGTTACAAACTGAAAGGTCATTCCCACCTCCCATCCAGAAGTGTTAGTAGAAAATGTTTTAGGATATAACACAGTATTTGCCTGCAGGAATGTACAGACAGTAGAGGTGAGATACGTGTGCTGGAGCAAGTGAAGGTGTGCTTTTTGAATGTAGCCAAAAGATTAATTCCAGGTTATGTTTTGGGATAGAAGCTTTGAAGTCAAGAAATACTAGGTGACAGAAATGTTGTATTAATTGCACTACAGAGTGAGAGAGCATAAGCTTAGACCCTGGAATGCACAAATAAAAATAGTGAAGAATTAAATAGGGCAGCAATTGAGTGTTTCAGAATCATATCTCCACATATTGGCCTCCTGGCCTCCTTTTCTATGGTAGGTGCCTAAAACTGTCTTTGCTGTTTAAGGAAAAAAAAAAAAAAAAAAAAAAAAAAAAAAAAAATCTAAAAAAAACAAGATTACAGAATAAAACAAATGTTGTTGCTCTCATTTTATCACTTAGGAATCAAAATACAGAGGCTAGATTGTTTTCACAAGATCACATTGGATGTTTGGTTGAGCCAAGTATTCAGCCCACAGCTCCCAAGGTCCAAGGCCTTGAGCATAAGATGGATGCAGTCTGTATCCTCATCAGATGTCTGGACTGTTACAGCATTAAAAACAACAGTATCTAGTAGTTGTCAGTATTCTGACTGTGGGTGGTGTACCATCAAATTTTAGCTTGTTTAATTTGAGGAGTCCTGCAGTATGATAATCAGAGTATGTTCAGCAGGAGTTGGAGAGATGGAAATCTGATACAGAAATAGAAAAAGATGTCAAGTTTCCCAACCTGATGCTTAAATGCCATGTTGCGTTTGTGATTCATACATGGTGGTATTTCAGAGGAAATGCTTAAGAAGTGTTAGATATCTTTGAATCTCCAAATGGAATCTAATTAGAGAAAAATGCATTAACACGATGTGATAGGCCAGATTGTGCAAGTTGCAATGTAAAAGGCTGAGTAATGGATCCTGTGATGTTCTTCTGAAGCTTTCCAATTTCCACTGAAGGATGTTTGGGTATATGTCTTAAATGTTGACATTATTTAAGTCTCTGTGTCAGCTGGCTTGTCAAGATATGAACAGTCCTAATGTAACTGTTGTATAGCATGTAAAGAGATGGATTTTGTACTGCTCCCTTGCAAAAATCATAACCTTGAAGTCATTGACAAGTTTGTATCATAATTTTACCTAGGACTTTAGTTGTGATTTAGACTGATGTAAATGAAATAAGAGTAAGGCCTGCTTATTTATTTCCTAAATCTTAGCTCAACGTTTACTATAGTTAGGTGCTGACAGGTTGTTAAATGTAGTACAAGATCCGAGGGAGGCAGTACTTGTCTTCAAGAGCTCACACATTCAAGTACTCTTCATGTTAACCCTTACTCATGCAAAAAAATCTGTATTTCCAGAATCAATTTCCCCATGGTAAATGAGAATGATGCACTCATATATAGGAGGGTTTCTCAAAGGAGCTGGGATCAGGTAGTCTGAAATCGGTGTCTTTCACAGTTTAAATCTCTAGTTATTGAACCTAGAAATGTCTTGTTCAAAACTTGTTGAGAAGAAATGTTGCTACTCTCCTGGTTTTCATGGAAAGCATGGCATTTGAAATACATTAAGGAGAGGTGCATTTTCTTTTTGAAAGTACTGTCCTCTTTAGAGGACCCTGGTTACTTTGTTGAGAGAGAATGAGAGAACCCAGTGCCATGGCTGTAGTATAAATCTGTGCTATTACTGGATTTGGTGTACCAGTTTCATGGGAGTTATTTTAATAATCCAGTATTGTAAGAATCTGAAACAACTTCATTCCAGAGGCAGTGTTGTCAGACTTCTATTTCTGGTAGTTTTTGTGGTCTTGATACTAACAGATGTGTTGTTGCTTAAAAGATGAATGCAGGCTTTAAATGACAGAGTGGTTTGTTAGTTTTTTTTTGTTGTTTTTTTTAGTGTTTCATTAATTGTTCAGATGTAGGATATGTATGCTTGTCACAGCCATCTGTTTTAGGATGTGAAGCTGTTTCAGTAAGATCCCAGTTTGCTTTGACTGTTGGTTATTGCTGTAGCGCTTTCAATTTTATAAAAAAGAGAGGTAGAAAACTGAAGGGATCGAGATTCACATTTCTTTTTTTCATGTACCACTGGTTACTTTGTTGAGCATTAGGAAGGACCAGTGGCTAAGAATGGTGAATGTTTGAGCCTTTCTCTTCTTTCTGTTTCAGCCTCTTTGAATCTGTTTTTTCTGTCTCTTTTTCTTCTTAGCAGCCAAAAAAATAAAAATCCTTGAGGATGCAAATCCAAAGTGATTTAGGAACACAATAAAAATAACAAATTTAAGACTATTTACCTAAGTCCCTAAGTACCTTGTCCCAGTGATTTTATGGGTCCTATCTGGAAGGCTGGCAGGATTTGGCAGCGGTGCCACGCTGTGATATAAGCATGGCTGGGGCTATGCTTACCTGCGTGCTGGACGCCCATTTGGGCTTCAAGTCATTCTGTGGGATTTTCTGATTGCCTCTCCTAGTGCTTTTCTGAAGTGTAAAACGTAAAATAATAATAATAATTAAAAAATCACAGCTCATTTATTTCATGCTTAATTAATTATCAGTGGAGATACTTAAACCAATTGATTTCACTTTCTGGTTCTCATGAAGTAGAGCAGATTTGGTATCCTTGAATTGTAAATGCTGAGACAACAAAAAGCGAGGGGGAAGTTTTCCAATCCAAGCAGTGTAACGTACCTTAAAAATGCTCTCCTGAGCTTTAAACTTTTAGAAAACTTTTTCAAAAATGAGCTCTGAAGTTACCATTCTAATATTCATATTTTACTGTGATTTTTTTTTTCTTTCTGGGAGCTTTTTTTCAGGTATTTCTCTTCTCACTGTATCGTATTGATGGATGGATCCTCAACGTGTAATGCTGTTGGCAGAAATCCCATTTGAGACTGGTTTAACTGGTGTAGTGCATAGTGACTCAGGGTGTAATGACTATATCGTAATCATGTCTGCGTGCCATAGGCAAGAATGCTCAAAATCAATACTTATAGCTGCTTTCCTCTCCAGGTTTTTGCTTGGTGTTTGAATCAATTGGTATAGCATCTTGAGAAATTAGAATATTGAGGTTTCTGAGGAAGCAAGCAGAGCTTGAGAATATGAAAATGCATGCTATGCTGTTGTGCTAGAGGGCCGTATAAGCAACATCAACAATTAAAAAATCCATAGGGACGGAAAAGGGGTGGTTTAATGTTGTGAGAGTATTTCTGATCACTGTAAGTAAGACTACAAGTTGGGTAGTGTTGCTGTAAGCCACAAACCTAGTTATACAACGCTGTTGGCGCCTGTTGGAGGTGAGGTCTAAAGATGAATTAATATACAAGCTAGATGTTATTCATTCTCTAGCAGAGGTCACTGGTAAGAGGATACTGCATCACTGCTCTATTAGCAACATACATTTTAATTCAGAAATAAAATGGACGCATAGCTGCTAGGTGCTTTTTCCTTCGTGTGTGTGGTTGTGAGGCCACCTCCCTTGTGCTGCGCTTGTTGACTTTTCCTGGTAGAGGATAATCACTAGGGCATTTGTTCTGGAGGAGTACTGTCATTTAACGTGATTGTAATTAACCAAGAACTAGGTTGACTCTGAGCCACCAAATTGCCCTAGTGTCTATTTTTTAACTTGGAGTGAGCACTTCTAGGCACCCTCTGGATTACCTCGCATAGCTCTGTGGGGTTTAAATAGAAACCGCATCTAGTTAAAGCAAATAATGGAAAAAGTTGGTGTTCCATCCACTCTTGGTACTGACAGTTCCCAAGATCCAGGAAACAGGTATTTGCATTTACTTTTATTCCGTGGCTTTGGCTTTGCAGCAAGGTTGGAATAGGTGTTTATGTTAAACATGTAGGCTTTGGGATGCTTTTGCCGTTTTGCACCAAAATCATTTGAGACTTCTCATCCTGAACGTGGGGTTTCTGTCGTAGCTTTGTTTTGTCGCAGAGTTGTTTACTGGCTAGCTCGGGGATGTGGCATCACAATTTCTAATTCTGCTGCTGACTGATCACAGACGTTCAACTAAGTTGCTTTATAGCTACATGCTCCAGTTTGCTTTTAAAGCATCTTGTGGTGTTAGTGTGAGTTATGCAATTTAAACTGTTAAAATACAAAAGGATTACCAATCGATTGTTTCCATTTCTAGATTTAAAGATGTATTTAAGATGTGTTTCAGCATGTTCAAATTTGTGAACGCTGGGTTGATTTGGTGGTTGCAAACAGCTGGAAATGTTATGTAGCGTAGGATAAGAGATTGAAACTTTGTCTATTAGGTCAGCTGTATATAAGGTCCCTTTATAATGATCAGTCAGATCAGGTGGCAAACGAGAAAAAAAACACTTATTAGTCTGAAAATGCTGTGTACCTCTTCCCATCAGACGTGTTCCAGTAGGCAGTGGTGATATTTCCAATGTAACTTCAAATGGCGCAGCTCTGTGGGCACTGCTGGCTCCGGTCTGTCCTCATATGTCTTTATGCAGCCTCCGTGGGCTCGTGCAGTGGCATGTGTAGAGCTGCAGGCAGCGTGTGCCTCTCTATTTATTTTGCTTTAGTGCTTTCGACATTGGAGAGAGGGGGGAGAGGGTTGTTAAGGCGGTGGAATGGATGGGCTAATGAGAAAGCAGAACACTTGCCAAATTAATAATAAAGAAATTACGTTGAAAATGTCCCGTGACCTGTAATAGTTTCATGGAGCAGACGTGTGTTATTTTGGGATGGAATCCATACGTGAGCTCCTTGGCACTTTGCTGTTGCCTGGGAAGAAAATCCAAACAATGGAAATAGAAGTGGTGAAGGCTGTCTGCTTCCCTCTGAGCACTGCTGGAT